GCTGTCGTGCATCTCTTTGATTTCCAGTCAAACCAATCCGGCGACGTGACTGGACGCAAACCAAAAGCCAGTAATTCCCCCCTTTCCCTAGGTTGCACACCAGTCCTGGCGATTAGGGGACTACTAAGTGTAGTGGAGGTCAGGTTAGTGGAAGCCAGGGCCCTTTCCACTGGGCGGAACAGCACCTCTCAAGTGTCAACTCGTGGGTTCGGTGGTGCGTCGTGGAGAAAGGCCCGCGAGCTAAGGAGATGGAGCGAGGTCCGCTTCCAGCGCGATTACTGTAGGTAGCGTAGGCTCAGGTACGAGAAAGTTGTAGAGTTTAAATGCGGATGGTTGCAAAACGGCATTCTCATTTCGTTGTTCTCTTATGAGTTGTTCACAGTCATTGAAGCTGTGGCTGAGCCAAGGGATGGATGCAAAGGACAAGTTGAAGCGTTAAAGGACTCGAACCCGTTCCAGAAACGGAAACAGAAACAGATCAGTCAGCCAGCCAGCCAGCCAGCCCATGGCAAAACGGCAGAAGCAGACCACAAAGCATGCAAACTTAGATAAACCAAAACTGATTCCATCCATGTCAGGGGAGGGAACGGAGGAGCCGTACCTGCATCCCCGAGTTCTGGTTGGTGGTTTAAGACATTGGGCTAGGGGATTGCGTTCCTTCTGTCTCCAATATGTGACAGCTTACCGGCACTTGCCCTGTGCGTCTACTAAAGTTTCCTCAGCGCTTCGGTTCGACCAAAGCTCCACATGGAACTCAAGGCATTAGAAGAGTTGGTCGCTGAAAGCATAAGACAATACGACATTAGTAGTAAATAACAGTTCATGCTATGTAATTACACCAGGCTCTTCCTTTGTACATTTTGATGTCTTGAAGTTGGGAGGCAGCGTTTCTAATACACGCTAGATAACTGTCACTGTATTAGTTGATGGCACTTTGTTCGCACTGAATGAGACCAAACACTGTGTGGACAATATACGGTACTGAGTGTCGACGCTGTCTTGTTTCAGCTCTAGCGCGTAGCCTTATGTAATGCCTGCAACAAACATCAAACATTCATCATAACCAGTCAAGCAGCGCGTCGCTCAAGGTATCCTGTCGCGAAGGGATAACTTTGGTATCTGGAAGTAACAATTCTGACGTTCCATTCGTTTGACCCATCAACTTCTACCATGGCGAGTGTCGACGAAATCTTCAAGGTTTGTTTTTCTTGATGAGACCTGTAGCTTCAATCTCTAACAAACTTCCAGAGCTCCGGCATCTCAGGCAAGCGTAAGCTTGATCCTATGAGAGATCCAAGTAAGTGACTATCAAAATTTGGTCGCGAAGTACTTCTACTTACATATTTCAAGATGAAATTTACAAATCAGCAAAATTGAACGGCAGTGGCTCAAATAGACACGCCCAAGTCGACGATGCGCAAGACGAAGACGAAGACATGGAAGCTGGCCCAGCAGCACCTCCTCCCGAGGAGGAAGATTTCGGGCCCGAATTACCTCCCGATGATGACGAAGGCCGGTTCTTTGGCGGAGGTATCACGAAACAAGAATCAGAGATCCTCGACTACGTAGACGAAGCCGACGCTGGAAATGCGCCCGAAAAGATCGATGCAGCATGGCTGCGGAAAACAGCTCTCAACTTCGAGAAGCGCATCAGCAAGAATGCTGAGCTTCGCGCCAAATTCGAAGACGAGCCGCAAAAGTTTATCGGTAGCGAAGCTGATCTTGATGCCGATGTCAAGGGATTGTCTCTCCTTTCCGAACACCCTGAGCTATACCCAGAATTTGTCAAGACGGGATGTGTCGCCAGTTTAGTCAGTCTATTGGCGCACGAGAACACCGATATTGCCATCGACGCCATCGAGATCATGGGCGAGTTGACCGACGAGGACGTCTCTGCAGAAGATGAACAGTGGAACGGTTTGGTTGACGCTATGATGGACGCAGATCTTCTTGGACTGTTGGTCTCCAACTTCTCTCGCCTGAATGAAGATGACGAATCAGATCGCAGCGGTATCTACCATGCTTTAGGGGTGATTGAGAACTTGTGTTCTCGACAATCCGTTGCGGAGCGCGTTGGTGAAGATGAAAAGCTTTTACAATGGCTTCTGCAGCGCATTCAACGAAAGGAAGATGTCGTATCTCAAAATAAGCAATACGCTGCAGAAATTCTAGCTATCCTCTCCCAGATGGCCGTCGCCAATCGAACTCAACTAATACGCCTCGACGCCGTGGATCTCCTTCTCCAATTGGTAGCCCCTTACCGACGACGCGACCCAGACAAGGGTGGCGAAGAAGAGGAGTATATGGAAAACATATTTGCCTCTCTAACATGTTTGGCAGACGAGGCTACCGGAAAGTCGAAGTTCATCGATGCCGAGGGCGTAGAACTGTGCCTTATCATGCTTAAGGAGGGAAAGAAGAGCAAGCCACCTTCTTTGCGTCTCCTCAACCACGCAGCGGGCGGCAACTCTGGTGTGGAAGTCTGTCAGAAGATCGTCGAGGCTGGCGGTCTCAAAACACTCTTCACTCTCTTCATGAAGACCCAGGACCATAGACTAGCAGAGCATTTGGTGGAAATATTCGCCTCCATGTTGCGTCTCTTGCCTGCCAACTCAGCAGAAAGGATACGGACACTAGCAAAGTTTGTGGAAAAGGATTACGAGAAGATAACGAAACTCATCAAGTTCCGACGGGACTACGTTGCTCGACTTTCGTTGGCAGAGCAGCAAAACGACGCTGAAAAGGCCGTTACACCAGCAGATGATCGAGAAACCGCCGAGTTGGAGTGGCTATCCCGTAGAATCGATGCTGGCCTTTTCACACTACAGACTATCGACACGATTCTGGCTTGGTTGGTAGCAGAAGACACGGGCGCATCACGCAAGGTCAACCAGGTGCTCGCCGAGCGGGACGAAAAGGTGTCAATAATTGGACGTACATTAAAGGAGCAGCTGGAGGGTCTAGACACGACAGAGGAGAACCAGGATCTGAGGGACATGTTGAGCACTCTAGTCGAGTTTGTTCAGTAAACTTAATAATCAAAAAGGCGTCCAGACGGAACGCCGCAGGGTGACCGGTATAGAACGCATGGTCTTGCTCTCTTATAACAAATCCTCCTCGTACCTAATCTATTGTCTTCCAAAGTGCAGAGCTAACAACGCTCGTGATTATAAACACCGTGACTCCGCCGGGAAACCGCTCAAGACTTGGTGTTGGTGGGAGGAACGGGGTTGACATCGAAAACAGCGCTGAGAAGGTTCTTGATAACCCCAGCTTGACCCTTCTTACCAGCCTCCTGAATGCCCTTGATTTGAGTCTCAGCGTCCTTGTTGGCTTCGGCCTCGGCCTGCTCGTTGCCCTTGCTGTGCTATAGAGATGTCAGCGATCCTAAACATCCCACAAAACGTAAGAGTATCCTACCTCGGCCTCGAACTTCTTGTATTCCTCCTCCTTCTGGGCCTTGTAGTCGGCTATCTCTTGCTTGGCTTCATCACGAGCTTCCCTGACGCGCTTGGTGCGGTCTATCGTTCGATGTTAGACAAACTAGTTATCGCATTCGGGGAGGGAAATGGCGCTTACACTCTCGGGCTGTGCATCATCATCATCGGGTTAGCGATCTAAAACAAGGCGGGGAGTAGTAAAGGCAATCAAGCTCACCCTTCTGGACAATCTTGGAAGCATCTTGCTCAGCCTAATGACGTAAGTCAGCTATAAGACCATACTGTAATAATAGCGCAAGGGGAGTCGTACGTCGAGGAGCTGTTTGATGCCGGCCGAGTTCTGGGCAGACTGTGGAAGCGAGTTAGTTGGTCGACATCATTCGCTCATGGTCGCGATGGGAGCTAACCATGATGTCGTGTTTATATGAAAGCGTGGAAATATAGCGATCGAATCGGTCGTGTTTGAAAGGGACGTGGTACTAGGTTCGAAGACTGTTGGTGATGCGATGATGAAGAGTCGATGGTGATGGAGTTGAAGATGAGTTGCGAATGGCTGCAAGACAAGGTACGGTACCTAGCAGTTGACGACGGATTACGTCTGAGCTTGGGCAGGTGCTGTTGGAGCCAGCTGATTCGCAGGTACCGCTAGGTACCTTTGGGCTGGTGGGCTTCCCCTCCAGTGAGAGCTGTAGCGCTTAGCGCGTATTGTAGCCGCGTATCAACCGCCATGTCCTTTCACGTCATGGTAACAAGTCCCTTCTTTTTGCATTGGATCATAATCTTTTGGCTTTCAATTGTCTTTGATCGAGTAATAAATCCTCCGACCAACTCCAGTCAGCAATTCAAACTTGAGGCAACCGATCAGCCGAATCGATCACCGATCAACCCCAGAGAAGCCAATATAAAACCTCGACAATGTCTCAAGCATCTAAGCTCACCCTACTGGGGACATCGCTACTCGCAGTCGGCACAGTTATTGCGGTACACTACCAACAAAAGTTCGAGAAAGCGGTGCGTCGATTTTACACATCAGCCAGTCTCCGCTATATGTCTTCAATGCCATTTTATAGCTTCTAAGCTAATTCCGATTTCTTAGGCCATGCATGAAGGCGTTGTCCGCGATATGGAACAGCAGCGAGTAAAGCGAGAACGACAATTGGACTTCGATCTGCAGAAGCAATTGGAGGCAGAGTACAAGCGCGAACAAACAGTCCACGACTCGATAGCAGCAGCCGAGAAAAGCATTCCGGATCGATAATGCGATGGCGTCAAGTCTCAAGAAATAATTGTACAATCACACCATACCCTGCTCTCTAAGCGACCATAATACCATGGTTAAAATCTAGATTTAGTTGCATCAATGCATTTCATTGTTTCTGCTATCCTAGCCTTATTTGATATACTATACTAACTCTGGACAAGTCCTCCTCTCTACATTATAAAGCGTTATTAGGTCCCGTTGGCAAGGTGCCACGTTACCATTCGAGACTTCCTATTTCAAATGTCCTTTTATGCCTCATCTGTCTTTTCATTTTTTTTTTTTTCGTAATCAAGCTCAATTTAACGGATTGAAACTCCGGATCGGTTGGTAAACATTCTGGCGGCAATGTTCATGGCCTGCAACTCCTGGAAGAGCAGCTTAGCGGCGTAGGGAATATGAATCTGCGCAATCTTGGTCTTGTTCTTGCAAGGTCGGCATTCGAACGACTGCTTGGAAAGGTTGCTGTAATTCATGTTAGCGAGTCATTCATAGTTACTAGAGCAGTAAAACTTACGCAATTGGTGTCATAAGTCCACAAATTTCGCAAACGTGGACTCGGAAAGCATCCGACACCTCAAACAGACGCTCCTTCAAGAAGGCAGCAGCACCGTGGGCAATCATACAATCACGTTCCATCTCTCCGAATCGCAGACCACCGTCTCGAGCACGACCTTCGACAGGCTGTCGGGTCATAATCTGAACGGGACCACGAGCACGGGCGTGAATCTTGTCATCCACCATGTGACGAAGACGTTGGTAGTATGTGGGTCCGAAGAAGACTTGAGCACGGAGCTTGCGTCCGGTATGGCCATTGTACATGACCTCGAAACCTCGAGATTGGTAACCGTGCTTTCTCAAAAGTTCAGACACGGAGTCGACGGTGACATCAGTGAATGGCGTTGCGTCACCCTCCATACCCTCCAGTGTTGAGACCTTACTCAAAAGACACTCGATCAAATGGGCAATTGTCATACGAGACGGAATGGCGTGAGGGTTGATGATAATATCAGGTGTCAGACCTTCTCTGCTGAAAGGCATATCCTCCTGCCGATAAGTAACACCGATTGTACCCTTTTGACCGTGACGAGAAGCAAACTTGTCACCAATCTGGGGAATCTTGGTTGTTCGTACTCGAACCTTGACATATTTGACGTTGTCGGCGTTGACTGTCAAGATGACTTGATCGACAATACCGTTCTCCGTGCTTCGCAGAGGTGTCGAAATATCACGACGCTGATGTGTCTGAGTTCTAGTTCCCAGGTCCTGGTTCTCCTGGTCGATGGGGGCAGTCTTGCCAATGATGATGTCTTCACCTGACACTCGCACACCGGGGGCCACGATACCATCCTCATCAAGCTTGTCATATGTTCCGTGCTTCATTCGAAGTGTTGTTTGTTGGAAGGGTTTCTCGAAGATTTCTGTGTAGTTGAGACCGACCTTCTTCTCTTGGTCCGAGTATGATCGGAAGAACAGACTGCGGAACAGACCTCGATCAATACTACTCTGGTTCATAATGACGGAATCTTCCTGGTTGTATCCTGAGTAACAAGCAATTGCAACAATGGCGTTTTGGCCGGCTGGCAGTTCACGGAACTTGAGGAACTCCATGGATCGTGTAGTAGCGAGAGGCTTTTGCGGGTAGTATAGAATGTTGGCCATGGTATCCATACGTCGAGAGTAATTCGTTAAGAAGAAACCCATGGCTTGTTTACCCATGGCAGATTGGTATGTGTTACGAGGAGACTACGAATTGTTAGTCGCATTCAACTTTGTCAAGGGGGGTGGTACATACCTGGTTGTGATCGGGGAAAGGAATGATACTGGCACAAATACCCAGAATCATACTAGGATGAATCTCACAATGTGTGTACATGTGAGTTGTGGGGTTAACCTTTGTCTTCAAACGCTTGTTGCGTTCTTCCTCCTGTTCCCTCTTCTCTGCCTCTAGCTTGGCCTGCTTCTCTTCTTCTGTAAGATTGATCTCATCCTGCTTCTGTTCACGATAGATTTCGAGATCTTCAGGCGTCATGCAAATCATAGCGGTTTCCTCTTCTTCGGCATCGAGATACTCGACAGCTCCAGAGCGAATAAGTCCCTCCCATCCAATCTTCTCTGATGGATCAGAAGGTGGCTCTGCTTGCTCCTGGGCAATCTTGTTCACAAGGTCCTTTGTCAATACTAGTTGTCCCTTGTTGATACCAGTTTCGTAGTCATCCTCTTGTTGCACGGTGAAGACTGGCCTCATGACACGGCCTGCGTCAGAGAAGATTTTGAATTCACGGTCTCGAATATCACGAACAAGAGAGACTTCAAACTGGACATAAGACTTTCGTCGTGTATCCAGGACGCTATTCACCAGTCCCTTGGGATCAGGGTGGACACCGACCCAGCTACCGTTAACGAAAACCTTGGTTGCGTGAGGGTATCTTGTTGGTTCGTACTCCTCAACGACTTCCATACCTCGGTTGATCATGAATTCGATCAGAGGCTCAGCTGGTGAACCCACACTCACATAGCACATCAGCGACAAGTTCTTGACCAGACCGCAAGCCTGACCTTCAGGCGTCTCGGCAGGGCACACCAAGCCCCAGTGAGTGTTGTGCAGCTGGCGAGGTTTCGCGAGCTTGCCATCACGTCCAATGGGCGTGTTGGTACGTCGCAAATGAGAGAGTGTCGAGGCAAATGTATATCTGTTCAACACCTGGGAAACACCAGCTGTGGAGCTTGCAGCCTTCTTCTGATCTCCCCAGTTACCAGTAGCCAGTGAGTACTTGAGACCGTTAGACAGGGTTCCTGGCTTGATGGCAACATTCAAGTTGAAGTTTCTGTTGCTCTCAACGCAGCGCTTGAGGTAGTTGGAGAGCTCCGTGTTCATTCTCCTTATGATGCCACGGAAGAGCTTTGCAAGTAGGGGACCAGCAAGATCGAGTCGCTTCTTTCCAAAGTGATCACGATCATCCGGCTCACGACGGCCGAGAGCACACTGAAGAAGCTTGTGCACCATATAACCCAGGAAGAACGCCTTACGGGTCTCGCTACCCTCTGACTGGGAAATATGGGGCAGTGTCTCCTTCTGAAGAATGTCCTTTGCGACACGGACACGCTTCTCACGACCAAGGCTGGCCTGGTCTCTGTTTCCACGCTTACCGATGAAATCGAGAGCAACTTCTCTGTCCTGAACACAGAAAGCTTCCTCGATACATGGACGAAGCATTTCCAACATCTGACTATCGTTTCGATCGTAGCAAATGTGGTTGAGAATGTCCTCATCAGATACGACACCCAATGCTCGGAAGACGATGGCAACAGGAAGATCTGACTTGACAAACGGGAGTGAAGTCTGGATAGTCTGGCCAAAGCCACCACGGGCGGAGTCTCCCTTGCCAACGAGCTTCATCATCAAGCTAGAGATAAGGCGCGAACCTTTTTCAAGGGCACTTCGGATCTCAGCAGTGTAGGTGAAAGGGCTGGGCTGAGCCTTCTTAAAAACCTGGACGATATTGGCGGCAGAACGCTCTTGGGCGATCAGAACCTTTTCACTACCATTGATGACGAAGTAACCACCCTGATCGTAAGGACACTCGTTAAGCGTGAACAGTTCCTCGTCGGTATGTTGGCTCAGATGACAAATCTTGGATTTAACCATGATGGGCATCTTGCCCACAAAGATCATGTCTGACTCGCCTTCTGTCTTCATGCTGCCGCCATTTTCCTCGGTCTCCCATTCAAGCTTTGTGGGGTGCTCTCCAGTTCGCTTGTACTCTGCCTGCTGTTCCTCGTCCATCTCGTGCAGAGGAATCTCCTTGTCGATAGCAACAGAGACCTTCTTGGTGATCTTGATGTAAGTCGGTGAAGCATAGGTCAAGTTTCGGTCGCGGCATTCGTAAGGTAGTAGGGAAGTAACAGTGCCGTCTGTCTCACTGATGGACGGCCGAGAAACCATGACACTTCCGAACTTGATCTCGTATCGGCGAAGAGCGATCGGCACTCCATAAGACGAAGGGGGGTTGTGCTGATCGAGGGAGATGTTGGCGTACTCATTGACGAGATCCTGAACAGTAGTTTGTGTGAACTCATCGAAAGAATCGGTCTGCTGTGATGCAAGGCCCTTTGTCTCGAAGAAGGACGAGATCACAGTCCAGCAATCCTCGGGGGTGATACCCTCGTCGTAGCCATAATCGTAGTCGGAGTCGTTCTCGTAAGAATCGTCCATGATGTCGGTTTCAATCGGTGCAGCTTTTATAATGGGGTATTCGGTTTTTATTAAGAGTTGCGACAAGGAATTGCTGATCGAGTCGATAAGAATGCGCCCGTGGGCAGTTGCGTCGGAAGTTATTCAGCGAAAGACAAAGGAGCTAAGACAGCGAAGTCAGGGCGGTCAGTTTTGGACCTGGCGCCTGATGCACCCCGTGAGCATCTGTTGATGGATTTGGCAGATGGACAGCAATCTCTAGCCAGGAGATGGAGTGACTTTGGGGAATGCGCAAGGTATGAGAGTCGGGGTGGAGAGGTGATGAATTTGTTAGACAATGAATATTAACTTAGCATTCAGGAGCCTGAGGTTGAGGCGTCGAGACGTGACAAAAAACGAGCTAGACCTTTTTAGGCTAGTGCAGGTCAGTCCGCCACGTTGATGAATAATTCAAGTGCGGCGGTGCTCGTGGCTCTGAAGAGCTTAACCTAGATCCTGAGGCAGAGCTTTCCTGTAGCTCATATCCCAGTCAATCCTCTGTGGTAGACATACCCTACACGCTTGTCGGTCGAGACCCCTGCGCTAATCAGCTCATATCCTCTCAGCTATCCCTCAACTCGCGATGCAGATGCGTGGCGATGAAATGATTCAGGGGCTTTCTACTGTAAGGGATTGAACTAGTACCTCGACTACGGGCTCATAGTGAGTTCAAAATCTACCCTAGATCCGTCACATCCGCGAATCCAAAGTCTATCTGTTTCCATATCTTGGCGATTTGCACTACGTTTCATTCGACTGCTTAAGTGACATGCCAGTCTTAGCTATCAACGGTTTATGCGGCCCGCAGATATGGCAGCAATTCAGCGCTAATCATCCCCGGGATTGATTTCACACCAAATTTCCTCAGCCTGTCCTTTGAAAGTGAATATTTTAGTCGGGGTTCGTTCTCGTCGAGGCGATTGCCCTTTTGATGTACTGCTACCGAAGGATTCTAGAAAGACTCGACTAATTTCCTGGTACACGGTGGCCCGGCATATCGGATTCGGTCACTTATATTAACCACCTGGATTCTGCATCAGTCTTGACCGTTTCCAGAACCCCGATGTCTTCTTCCATTACTCAACCTCCAATCCCAAGTGTCTGAATCCTTGCACAATCTCGGAAATGTCGGCCGAGAAGCTGTCAAATCTCCACAACTAATCCTGAAACCAAATTCTCCTCGTTCTCATTTCTCGCTCGTTCGGTCCAGCCTTGCCGTTCCTTGTTCCTCTCACCAGTTCCAGAGCCTCTTATTAGTGGGAGATCTGACTCCGTTCCTAATATGCTGACTAGCTCGATTCGTTGCACCACCATCTGCTCGTCTCTTGACTTATATGATCCTCCGCGGTGTACCTGCACTAGTGTAGATGCAGGTCGCTTGAATTAACAGACCACTTGAAGGAATGTGCTCATGACATCTAGGCGTTGTGGTAAGTAACGGCGCAGCATAGTCTAGCCATGCAGGACCGGGGTTTGAGGTATGTATATAAGATGGTGGCTTACAGCTCTTGCTCTTGCTTGCTGGATACTCAAGCACTCTGTTCGGATTCCTTCACTTCGTTCATTCATTCATTCTTTTCAATTATACACACTCTCATTCAAATACATTCATTCTTCAAACTAAGCAATCCTTTGCCATCATGCGCTCTTTTGCTCTCCTTGCCCTGGTCGGTCCTCTCGCTGTGAGTGCTGCTTCTGGAAGTGGACACTCTACTCGATACTGGGACTGCTGCAAGCCTTCTTGCTCTTGGAGTGGCAAGGCTAAAGTCAGCGCCCCTGCTCTGACTTGTGATAACAGAGACAACCCTATCACTAACTTGAACGCTGTCAACGGTTGTGAGGGTGGTGGTTCTGCTTATGCTTGCACCAACTACTCCCCGTGGGCTATCAATGACGATCTTGCTTACGGTTTCGCTGCTACCAAGCTTGCTGGTGGCACTGAGGCCAGCTGGTGCTGTGCCTGCTATGCGTATGTCTAGATGACTCGTATCAATCTTGACAGCTCTTTGTGCTAACTGTCTCTCTTAGTCTCACCTTCACGACCGGTCCCGTAAAGGGCAAAAAGATGATTGTCCAGTCTACCAACACTGGTGGTGATCTCGGTGATAACCACTTTGACCTCATGATGCCTGGCGGTGGCGTCGGTATCTTCGATGGATGCACCTCTCAGTTCGGCAAGGCCCTTGGTGGTGCTCAGTACGGCGGTATCTCTTCCCGAAGCGAATGTGACAGTTTCCCCGAGCTGCTCAAGGATGGTTGCCACTGGCGATTCGACTGGTTCAAGAACGCCGACAATCCCGATTTCACCTTCGAGCAGGTTCAGTGCCCCAAGGAGCTCCTCGCCATCAGTGGCTGCAAGCGTGACGATGATCCCAGCTTCCCTGCCTTCAAGGGTAACACCACTCCCAGCCAGGCTAAGCCCAGTGGAAAGAACACGGCTGCTGCTACTCAGCCTCAGAATACCAAGCAAGCTTCTCCCGTTGTTCAGAAGCCCTCTACCAAGGCTGCTGCTAAGCCCGCTGCTACTAAGCCTGCTGATACCAAGCCTGCTCCCGCCAAACCTACCAAGGTTATCAACAAGCCCAAGGCCACTTCAAAGGTTGGTGGAACCAAAACTCATGGAAATTGTCCCGCCACTAAGCCTACCAAGCCCGTCGTCCCTCAGAAGTCCGCTGTCGCTGTTTACCACCAATGCGGTGGTTCCAAGTCTGCTTACCCCGACGGCAGCCTCCGTTGCGCTTCTGGAAGCAAGTGTGTCAAGATGAACGATTATTACTCTCAGTGTGTCCCCAACTAAATGGTAGATCGAAGGATTCAGTCGGTGTGAGACTGAAGATCTCTTGAAAGGGACTTTCTCCTATGAGCAGAATTATCAGTGTATCATTGCTTGACATCCTGGACCCGGTGTTCGACTCTTACTTTACAAAACTGTCTTCTCTGTATATATTTATGTAATTAGCCTTATGTCAGCGACGAACTGGCTATAAACAATCAACATGCCTATTCGCACAATGATCCATCGGTTTTTCTGAGATGTATCCCCATTCAAAAATATTGATTTCGTCGTAGTATGATAAAATAGATAAAGCCTCTGCTGGTTAATCTAAATGCCTATGCTCAATTCTATAAAGCTCAAAAAGACATTTGCTATTAAGTTTCCAATTACGCCAAGTATCCTCTTTCGAATGCGTCAAACATCAAACCATCACTCTTTAAAGATGTAATTTTCGCCTAGTATAAGCAAATGCCTCCAATCTCGTCATCCATGGTCCATGATCCTGCAAGACCTTTGATCTCCACATCTTCCGTCAAGCTCACATCTTGTGGGAGAGTCTTGCCGAGGAAGAAATCATTCTTTCCCTCGGTGTGCATCTTCCTCTTCATGAAGCGTCTCGTCCACTCCTCAACAGCAGGCTCGCCTGTCTCATCCCTCGCCTGCTTCAAGAAAGGAATCAGGGCTGTACCGCCAGTGCCCTTCTGGTTATCCTTGTTCTTACGTGATGCAATGGCGAGGTTAACCTTGTTTCGGGTGACCTCAGGACTCCTTGAGCGACTGCGAGCACGGACTTGCTTTGAGGGATTGATTATGTAGCGTGTGACGATGTTGATGTGCTTGTCGCGGAATGCGCTGAGCATAGCTAAGCATGCATCATACGCAAGGCATAGCTGCTTGTCGGATGGGTGTTCCTCGACATACTGACGGATGTTGGCGACGCTGGATACATCATTGAGAAATCTCGCATGAGGTCCGGGCATGTAGCGTCTCATCTCCATGATGAAATTGTGTCGGTTGGAAGTACGGCCGCGATCAGAATCGGAAGATGGATCACGAGACGCGCCTGTTGGACGATGCTCAATTCCGAGAATGACATCAAAGAATTGGATCAAACTGCTCTGAGCGTTACTACCGCCACTATATTGTCGATATGTCTCATCGCCAGAGCCATCTTCGTAAATAACACCGTTTGGGAGGCCAGCTTCGGCCATATTCTTACTTCCAGCAAGGAAAGGTCGAATACGGTGATAGAAGATGGTTGGGTCACAACTCTCGTGCATCCTCTGGAGAATATTTGTAAGGTCTGTCAAACGCTCTGCAAAAGTGCGTAGACACCGAGTGACGGCTGCAGTGTCATCATGGCGGGCAGCAGCAATAGCTGTCAACATAAGAGGGATAATAGGAGCTCCTCGAGCTTCGATAGCAACAGATACGAGATAAAACCATGACTCATCGAGGGCTCCGGTATATGTGTTGAGGGTGGCGAGATTCTCAAGGTTGTCAATGTCCTCGTCAACGAAGAGCGGTTTAAAGTTCCAGAGACAGACAGCCGCATAAGTGGCGACTGGTGGTACTTCCAGGTGTTCTGAAATTTCTAGAAACGGAACTGATATAGATGCTGGCAGACGGTCTGATGGTGAATCACCTCCCCAGATATATCCATGGGCCATGAAGCCCAATAGTGAATAGGCACGGCGCCACTCAGCGTCATGTTCAAGGCCGATAGTAGAGAGTACTGGCAGTCTATCAATGACACCACGCAGCCTACGACTAAGAATAAGGGCTTGTAGGTTGGCTGCGATGGCCTCCCATTTGTTGTAGTATGGATCCGGTAGACGAGTCAATGGTAGAGTATCCGGAAGGAAACCATGGGTAGGAGAGATGCCGTACTCGGCTAGAACCGGAATAGAAGGCAGCATGATGAAGTGATTCTTGACCTAATGAGTTGACCGGTTGTATGGGAGAAGACAAATAGAAGAGTTATGAAACGTGAGAGAGATCGAAAGATGAGAGAAGAAGAAGCCGGTGTCCGGCAACCGGAGGACGGAAGAGTGGGGCCGCTCCGGTAGATTCAACAGCGAATGGGGCTTTTAATACTTCTGGGGTAATAAAGAAGCCAAGGCCGGTAGTAGTTGACAGAAGAATGGAGATGATGGAGAATGATTAAAAAAGAAAGGGTCAGAATAAAAACCTGGGGGAAAAGTCC